CGACCTCCCTGCCCGCCACTCGCCGCCGCCGCAGCGGCGCCTGGGCCCCGGGCCCCAGCCGCCAGCGCTTCGCGCGCGCCAGCCGGGCCCACTGCTTGATGCCGTCCAGCTCCGGGCCCAGCGCCTCCACGATCGTCTTGCTCTCCTCGACCTCGTGCAGCGGCAAGCCGACCTCGGACGCGACCTTGGCAGCCTGCCCGCGCGCGCCTCTGGTGGCGCCCGCCCGCGAGGAGACGAAGATCTCCTTGTCCACGTGCACGGCCCGGGGGGCCTGGAGCGAGTCCACGCTGGGCGCGATCTGCCAGTCGACAAGCTCGCCCTCGATGCCACCGAGGCCTCTGCGACGGAGCAGCTCCCGGTGGGTCTGCTGCGCCCACCTCATGGCCCGCGAGAAGCCCATGGGAAGCACCCCCAGGCAACGGTGAACCCAAGCTCCGTCTGCGAGCGCGTGGCCGCCCACTTCCTTCGCGCCCGGCTGGCGAGCCCCGAGCGAGCGCATGCCGAACCGCGACGCCATGTAGTCCGGCACCTTGAACTGATAGAAGCAATCCGCGATGTCCTGGATCGAGAACTCCAGCTGGGCGCCGTCCTCGACCTCCATGCCCGCGACCGCCACAGTCGACGCCATGTGGATCGATGGCGGACGCCTCAGGGCCTGGTTCGCGGCCCGAGCGTCAACTATGAGCCTCAGTCGGCCCGATTTCTTCCTTTCGAAGAAGACTCCCACTTCAAAATCACGATGGGTGCGCAGATTCACCATGCCAGCGTCCAGCAGGTCGTGCGCGAACTGCACGTACTCATCTTCGTTGGATTGCAAGGTCTTATCCCAGTGCACCCTGGAGGCGCCTGGGCGGACCTCATCAGCGCGAAACATCCGCGAATTCTCACCGCCAATCACCTCCTGGCGGTCTGGCTCCAGCAGCACCTCCAGCAAGCCCGCGCGGCCCGCCGACTCAGGCCACGAAACCAGGCCGCGATCGTGCGGCGCAGCCGCAGTGGGGCCGTCGGGGCCGTAGCCCATGCTGCCCGAGCCGAGCAACTCCGCAAAGGCTGCCTCGGGGCTGGGGGCGTCGTCCGGCGGTCTATCCACGGCCTGCCAGGGCATGTCCACAACGGAAAACTGTGCCTCCGAAGGCCGGGCCCTCGAGCAAAAATCGCCCTCCCCGCGCGGGTTGTTCAGGGCGGCGATGCAATCGTTCGCGCGGCGGCCAACGGCAGACCTGCGGCCAATCCTCTAGGCGGAGCGTCGCGGCAAAGACCGCGCGCCCCTCGCTGGGCACACGGGCGCCGTGGGCAAGGGCAGCAGATCCCTCGGCACCATGCGCTCCAGAGGCCTGTTGGCGCCGGCTGGGGTCGGCCACTCCCCAGCCTCGAAGTCGATCATGACTTCTTGGGAGGAGCGCGCGCCAGGGCCAGCTCCTCCGCCGCCTTGCGCTCCTCCTTCAAGATGGCCGAGCCCCTCGCAGCAGACTCCGCCACCCACTTCAGCAGCTCGGGACTCGCGATGGCGCCGCCCGTCCTCCTCGTGCGCCCAAGATAGTAGCCCTGTGAATCGAAATGCTTGACCGTCTCCTTCTTCTTCTTCTTCTTCTTCTTCTTTATCTTGTGCTCAAGGAGCTGCATGTGCCTCGCCAGCGCTTCCATGCTCGCAAGGTTCGACACATCCATCTGGTCGTAAGTGTACGCCAGCTCCAGAATTTACGACAGCATCTCGTGAGCGACCACGCTGTGCTCCTCGTCGTTCAGCTTGTTCTCATGCTTCTAAGTCGTGTGGCGCTGGACCGGGCCCCCGCTCTGCTTCGCAATCCCCGTGGCCTCATACAGCGCGGTGCGGGGCCCGGACAACGCCCAGTCCTCGAACTCGATCTTCTCGGCCGCCTCCGCCACGCTCTTGAGGTCGCGAAAGCGACGGCCGGCCGTGTCGCGCCTGATGGCCAGCGCGCGCGCATCCCCAGGCGGCGCGGGCGGAATGGGGGTGCCCCCCACGAGCGCGGAGGGCGACTGCCCCGCCGCGAACGCCCGCTGCACCTCGCCCACGGTCTCGCCTGGCGCCAGCCTGACCATGACCGCCGAGCTGCCGCGCCTGCCCAAGTCGTAGAGCCCGTACATGCCGAGCGCCACGAACCCCTCGGAGGGCGTCTCCAGCGAGTCGGGCAAGGAGTAGACCTTGCGCAGCTCTACGTCGCCCTCGGCGACCACACAGCACCAATCACCCCCTCGGCGACCACACAACACCAATCACCACGCTCGCCGCCGGGAGGCGCGGCCCGGTCGGGCAAGGGTGGCGCTGGCTCGCCCGCAGGCTCCGGCTCGTCACCCGCCCGGGCCAGCCCCCGCTCGTCGTGAAGCTCCGCGGCCTGGTCCTCCGCCGCGTCGAGCCTGGCCTGGAGCGCCGCGCCCTTCGGCCATGCCGTGAAGCGGTACACCGGATGGCCCTTTGATGCTCCGAGGCCCGCCGGCAAGCCTCCCCTGGGCCCAGCCTGCTTGAAGTCCACCACATGCCGTGTGTCGATCTCCTCCTCGTACATATCCTCGTCGGGCGTCAATGCTAGGTACCGCGCCCCTCCCACTGCTGCCAGAATCAGCCTCTCATGCCATGGCTCCCCCGCCTCGCCGTAGTCGAAGAACATCACGCCCCCTGGCTGGAGGTTGAGCGCCCTTCGCACGAACTGCTTGGGCGTCATTGTAGTCGGTGTGCAGAGCTGCCGGGCGCTGAGCACGCTGCTCGGTTGGCGGCCTCACCTCCGACTTGGCGAACGCCCACAGGATCACGCGCACGGACACCAGGCACGTGCAGATGGTGGCCTGCACCGCCAGCAGCGCGAGGATCCCCAGCAAGAAGCTCACGCCCACCGCGACGGTCGCGGCCCCGAGCGGGACGGGCGCCCCCCATACGTCGGTCTGCGAGAGGCGAAACCCGCAGATCGCTGGCCCAGGAGCTCTCGGCGGCTGGAGCTCTTGGGGGAGTGCTCCAGCCGAAATCTGCCATTCAGCGCCACAAGGAAGACCGCTTGAGCCGCAATAGTTGCGGCCAGGCGGGAAAACATAACATTGCACGCTCTGTGACACTCTGCTGCGCTCCGTTTCACACTGCTGCAACAGGAGGAGGAGTAGGAGGGTTGTGGAGGAGGGGTAGGAGGAGGAGGAGGAGGAGGAGGAGGAGGAGGAGGAGGAGGAGGAGGAGGAAGAGGAGGAGGGTTTGAGGAGGTCGAAGAGGAGGGCGAGGACGAGGACGAGGAGAAGGAGGATGAGGATAATGGAGGAGGGAAGAGCATGGATGAGGAGGAGAACGAAGATGGAGGGTGAGGATGGATGATGAGGATGGGGGAGGATGTGGAGATGGGACGGGTGCGGAGGGATGAAGAGGAGAGGGGAGGTTAGAGGATGGGTTCCGAGGTTCTCTTGGGCCTGTATTTTTCGGTGGTGGGGGGGGGTTCTGAGCGAAGGGAGAAAGAGTTAGGATAATGATGAAGGAGGTTCAGGATGAAGGTTGAGGAAGTGGGACAAACATCAAGAACCCTTTTCCCGCTCCTCCTTCGCTCCTCCTTCTTCCCGGGGGCGAGGCAGTCGAGACCGATGAAGATGAGGCGAGGACGAATGCAAGACACGCAGACGAGCAGAGGGGAAGGCTTCACAGCCCAACAGAGGGCGCCACTGGAGGAGCTCCATGACGCGAGAATCACGCATGGCTACATTCACATGTGGAGCATCTGCTTGGAGGTCGGAAAGGGGAGGGACAGAAGGAGGTGTGGCCAGATGTTGCCGACGATCAATTGCATCGCCAGATTCAGTAGTGGCTCCACACCCCTTCACACCACACCCCTTTTTCGTACCTCCAGAATCAAGAGGCCACGCGGTGGATGCACATGTGGAAGACCGGCGTGCCTGGCCATACGAGGGCCGAGTGCCAGGAAGACATCAGGCCACATGTATCTAGACCTCGCCCAGGCCGGCCACGTCGTGTGTTCCAGGCTTCCTGGTTATCACTCGAGGAGGAGCCAGGGAGAGGACCAATTTGGCGGAGGATCACCTGATATGCGAAATGAGGATACGCCCCGTGAAGAGTCTGGAGCCTCGCGGGTGTCGACATTTCCCGAGTCACTGTGGGTGTCTCCGCGAGGTTCCGAGTGTCTGCCGCTGTGCCCTTGGCTTGCTGAGGTGCGCGGGACCGTCCGTTCGCCGTGTGGTCAGGCGCCTGCAGTTTTCTGGGGGCGACTCCCCCCCCTGCGGCCACGCCCCCCCTCCAGGAAAACTGCCCCAGAAGTTCTGCTCCAATGGCGCTGCTCTCGGCCTCCAAGATGGGGCAAGCGCCCCCAGAATCGAATCGATAAGTCGGATCGACGTTCGAAATGATTCGGATCGGCGGAAATCGGCAGCCGAGTCGGGAAAAGTCGGATCGGCGGAAATCGGCAGGCAAGTAGGCCTCCAGTGTGAAATCGGATCCCAAATCGGAGTCCGACATCGAATCGAATCGGAATCGGAACCCCTCGAAATCGAATCGAATCGAATCGGCGGCGTCGAAATGAGCCCTGGGATGGCCCCATAACCCCTGCGAGATCATCCAGAGGGGGGTAAGGACGCCCAGCGACCACAAGAATCTCGGGGCCGCCCCTGCGGCTTCTTTGGCACCGGCGAGCACCGTGGACGGGGGCGGAGTGGGGGTCGGGGCGCTGCAAGCGGTGGGTGCCGTCGCCATCGCGGCCGCTGCCGTCGCCGCATTCGCGGTCGTCAGCGCCATCGTCGACGCCACCGTCCGGGAAGTCGGAGTTTGAGGCAATTGTGCCCCTGCCTGAATCAGGCAACGGCACGGGCTCGGCTGCTTCAACCCTGATGCCCGGGAGCGGGAGAAGGAAGACCTCGTCGCAATAATCACTGTCGCCGCCTTCGTTCTGGTCGCCGTGGTCGTCGCGGGTGTCGTCGCCGTCGCCGCGAACGCCGTTGCCTCGTTGTCGTCGCCGTCCCTGCCGTCGTCGCGATCGCCGCCGACGGCGACGGGGTTGGCATCATTTTCGCTTTGCTTTGAGCAGCCAAATCCAATGTGAGTTTTCCGCCTGCGAGGAAAGGGTAGACCATGACAGGCGCAGACGTCGCACAGAGGGCGTCCTGCGCCCTGCTTATGGAACGGCGGGTGCGCCAGAACGCCCCCGTTGGTCCTGTCAGCCTACGTAGACTTCATACTTAGGCGGCGAGCCCCAGGGGGAAGTGAGAAGGGGCAGGCCTTCCCAGAAAGCGGCGGGGCTTCTCAGAAACCTTCCGGCCTTCCGAGCAGTTTTTTCTGTCTTCGGAGAAAGCTCAGAACCCTTCTCGGGAGGGCCAGATGTCCTCCGAGCCTTCTGAAAAAAAGGCCAGCCCCCTCTCACTTCCCCCCTGGGCTCGCCGGCGAATATTTCTTCTGAGGGTCAACGATAGGGGGGGACTGGCATAGGGGGAATGCATCGACCAGGAATTGGCGATGCATCGCCGATAGGCCTTTGATAGTGAGTCCGCACCTTCCTGGGCAGGTTGGGGCTATCGGGCCTCCATCGGCGATCACTGGGCGATTGGGGGCGATGCACCCCCCCTTTGCCTATCCCCCCCTGTCGTTGCCCCTGATCTTCACCTCCACAGTCCGTTCCCTTTGAGGGGTCACGAAGCCCCTAGGGCTCCCAACTTCGCGCTTCGCGCTCCGCGAAGCGCGAATAACTTCGCGCCCTCGCGCCGCCCCCCCAAAGGGAGAAAAGGAGGACGAGGAGGAGGGGGGAGAAAGAACGAGGACCGCGAAGCGCGAATAACTTCGCGCCCTCGTGGGAGCCCTTGAAGCCCATGGTGGAAGGTCCCCCCGAGACGGCCCCTAAACCGCTCCAAGACGGCCCCGAGGTCCGACCCGGCGGCTTCGCGCTGGCTCTGCCGAGCATGGCAGAAGGGGATGATGGAGGGGCTCCTAGCTTCGCGCTTCGCGCTCCTCGAAGCGCGAAGCGCGAACAACTTCGCGCTCTCGCGCCGCCCCCCAAAGGGAGGAAAGGAGGACGAGGAGTAGGGGGAGAAGGAACGAGGACCGCGAAGCGCGAAGCGCGAATAACTTCGCGCCCTCGTGGGAGCCCTTGATGATGGAGGGGGTGATGAGGGGAAGGATGATGGGGGATGATGCAGAGAGGGGGGATCATGAGGAGGGGGTAATGAGGGGAAGGATGATTGCCCAAACATGCTCGCGTCGTGAAAACAAATCAGGACGGGACATTTTTCATCGTTTTCGGCCTCTGGAGGCCCCTACGGGGCCCCAGGACCGTCAAAAACGACTCGGGAAGAAAGACCGGTCCCGGTGAGAGGGTCGGGACTTCTGGGGACCCCGACTGAAAAAAACAGGACATCGCATGTCTGGGGTGTTTTTGCGGACCATTAGTTGTACTCCAAGAAAGAATTGCCTGCACTTAGGGTTTCCCTACAGTGTGCGCCCCGATCTCACCAGGCGTTATAGCCTTTCCCGCCGCCGCCGCCCCAGCCGCCTCCACCACCGCCACCGCCCCAACCACCGCCTCCACCACCACCGCCTGTCTTCCAGGGGCCGTTGCAAGACGAGGCTGAGTACTTGCCTTTGCGGTCGTCCCACTCCACCTCGTACGTGACGGAGTCGCCCTCTTCCAAATACGCGGTGCGATCTTGGCCATCACCATGCACTTTGCGATGCACGAACACGTCATCGCTACCGTCGTCAGGAGTGATGAAGCCGAAGCCCTTGTCCTCGAAGAACTTCTTGATCTTCCCCGACGGCATGGTTGACGCTGGGCCCGGAACCAAAGCTAGCCGCTCGACAAAATGAGCTAGCCAACTGGAGAGATGATCCCTCCCATCAAAATGCGCCAGCGAAATGAAGATATTGAGCCGGCACGGCTATGTTTTTCCTGAGTCCTACCCGCCCTTCAAAGCGTAGATGGTCTAGCGGTACTCTTCTCTCCTCTTCCAAAATCCTTCTTTTCTTCGTGGAGTGGTGCCCTCCCCCCTGAGGTTTTGTTTCCCAACGATCCTGTGGTGTTGTTGGGTCCTCCATTTGAATCAGCAGCGCCCCGCGTTCCTCACTCACTCCTCCTCCTCCTCCTACCCCTCCTCCTCCTCCTCCTCCTCCTCCTCCTCCTCCTCCTCCTCCTCCTCCTCCTCCTCCCCCTCGTCCCTCTTCCCATCTCTGCAACTGCCCTCCTCATATCCTCATCATCACCATCATAACCACCACCATCACCATCACCATCATCATCACCATCATCACCGTCATCACCATCGCCATCATCATCGTCACCATCACTATCAACATCATCATCATCGTCATCATCAGCATCAGCATCAGCATCAGCATCACCACCACCATCACCACCACCATCATCATCATCAGCACCACCATACTATTATTCTGCGCATTCTTCTTCACCGGCACCATCATCATCCCCATCCCCATCACCATCATCACGATCACCCTCACCATCATCATCATAAGCATCATCATCACCATCAGCATATCAGCATCGTCAACATCCGCATCATTAACACCATCATCATCAACATCAACATCACCACCAACATTATCATTGTCACTACCGTCATCATCGTCGGCACCATAAGCAACATCATCAGCATCAGCAACAGCAGCATCAGTATCATCATCATCAACACCACCACCACCACCATCATCATCATCATCATCATCATCATCATCATCATCATCATTAGCAGCATCATCATCATCATGACCAACGCCTTCACCATCACCATCATCAGCATCAACAGCGTCATCATCATTTTCATCATTTTCATCATCATCATCATCATCATCATCATCATCATCATCATCATAACCATCATCATCATCATCATCATCATCATCATCATCATCATCATCATCATCATAATCATCATAATCATCAGCATCATTACCACCAATATCATTCGCACTAGCACCAGTACCAGCATCAACATCATCACCATTTCGGCGCATCCTCAATCCCTCACACGTTTCGTGCCCCCAATATGGAAGTTCACCGAAGGCCCCAATGGCTGGATTCGCATGTTGTCCCGCCGCATGTCGGCACACCTCTCGCACTTTTCGCGGCCCCATAGGGAGCTCCACCAAGGGGCCTGTGTGGCTGGGTTCACAGGCTGCCCCGCCCCATTGCGGCACGCCCCTCACATGTTTCGTGGCCCCACAGGGAGCTCCACCGACGGCTCCAGTGGCTGGGTTCACACGCTGTTCCGCCCCAGTTCGGTACACCCCTCACACGTTTCGTGGCCCCACAGGGGGCTCCACCGAAGGCCCCAGTGGCAGAGTTCACATGGTGTGCCGCCCCATGTCGACACACCCCTCGCACGTTTCGTGGCCCCGTCGGGAGCTCCGCCGAAAGCCCTAGTGTCTGCGTTCACATGCTGCCCCGCTCTATTTCGGCACACCCCTCAAACGTTTGGTGGCCCCACAAGGAGCTCCACCGAAGGCCCCAATGGCTGGGTCCACACGGTGCTCCGCCCCAGTTCGGCGCGCCCCTCACATGCTTCGTGGCCCCCATGGAGAGCTCCACCGGCGGCCCCAGTGGCTGGGTTCATATGCTGCCCCGCACCAGTTCGGCACACCCCTCGCACGATTCGTGACCCAATAGGGAGCTCCACCGAAGGCTCCAGTGGCACATAGCTTCGTGGCCCTGCACAGTTCGGCACACAGCTTCATATGCTTCCCCGCACAGTTCGGCACCGAAGGCTCCAGTGGCACATAGCATCATATGCTGTCCCGCACAGTTCGGCACACCCCTCACAAGCTTCGTGGCCCAATAGGGAGCTCCACCGAAGTCCCCAATGGCACCGTCCGCATGCGTCCGCCACACCCATTTCGGCACACCCCTCAAATTTTTCGTGGCCCCATAGGGAGCTCAACCGAACGCTCCAGTGGCACCGTCCACATGCGTCCGCCACACCAATTTCGGCGCACCCCTCACACGTTTCGGGGCCCAATAGGGAGCTCCACCAAAAGCCCCAATGGCACCGTCCACATGCGCCCGCCACACCCATGTCGGTACACCCCTCACATGTCTCGCGGACCCATAAGGAACTCCACCGAAGGACCCAGAAGCACCGCCCACATGCGACCGCCACACCCATGTCGGCACACCCCTCACAAGTTTCGTGGCCTCATGAGGAGCTCCACCGAAGGCCCCAATGGCACCGTCCACATTCGTCCGCCACACCCATGTCATCATTCCCCTCACACGCTTCGTGGCCCCATAGGGAGCTCCACCGATGGCCCCAATGACACCGTCCACATGCGTCCGCAGCACAGATTTCGGCACACCCCTCGCAAATCTCGTGGCCCCATGAGGAGCTCCACCCACGGCCCTACTGGCACATCCACATGCGTCCACCACACCCATTTCGGCACACCACTCGCACGTTTCGTGGCCATGGAGAGCTCCGCCGGAAGCCCCAATGGCACCGTCCACATGCGTCCGCCACACCAATTTCGGCACACCCCACACACGTTTCGTGGCCCCATAAAAGGGGCTCCACCGAAAACCACTGGCACCGTTCACCACACCCGTTTCGGCACAACCCTCACAAGCTTCGTGGCCCCATAGGGAGCTCCTCCGAAGGCCCCAGTGGCACCGTCCACATGCGTCCGCCACACGCATTTCGGCGCACCCCTCAAATTTTTCGTGGCCCCATAGGGAGCTCAACCGAAGACTCCAGTGGCACCGTCCACATGCGTCCGCCACACCAATTTCGGCGCACCCCTCACACGTTTCGATTCTCATAACGGGGCTCTACCAAAAGCCCCAATGGCACCGTCCACATGCGCCCGCACACCCCACACACGTTTCGTGGCCCCATAGGGAGCTCCACCCACGGCCCAAGTGGCACCGTCCACATGCGTCCGCCACACCCATGTCGGCACACTCCTCACAAGTTTCGTGGCCCCATAGGGAGCCCCACCGAAGGCCCCAATGGCACCGTCCACGTGCGCCCGCCACACCCATTTCGGCACACCCTTCACATGTTTCGTTGCCCCATGAGGAGCTTCACCCGAGACCCAATTGGCTTCGTCCACATGTGTCCGCCACACCCATTTCGACACACCCCTCACACGTTTCGTGGCCACAGAGGAAGCTCCACCGAAGGCCCCAGTGGCACCGTCCACATGCGTCCGCCACACCAATTTCGGCGCACCCTTCACACGTTTCGATTCTCCATAAAGAGCTCCACCCAAGGCCTCAATGGCACCGTCCACATGCGTCCGCCACGCCCATGTCGGCACACCGCTCACACGTTACGTGGCCCCATAGGGAGCTTCACCGAAGGCCGCAGAGGCACCGTCCACATGCGCCCGCCACTCCCATGTCAGCACGCCCCTCACACGTTTCGTGGCCCCATAAGGAGCTCCATCGAAGATGATACTCATGACGGCGGTGCTCACAGCTGCATCTGGTTGGGTCCGTCGCCAGGGTAATTTTTCGGGGGGGGGGGGGGGGGGGGGGGGCGACGTGTCACGGGGCCCTCTTGGGTTGCCCAAGATGGCTCCAAGAGGGCCCCCTATGCTGCAAGATGGCCCCTAATATGGCTCAAGACAGCTGGAGATGGTTCGAAATGGCTTCCGACATGCCTCCAACAGGCCCTAAGAGGACCACAAGACGGCTCCAAATGCTCTCGGAGCACCCTGAAGACTTCCCCAAGAAGCCACCATCTGGTAACCATCTACTGCTACTGAGAAGCACTGACGTTCTCCTTTTCATTATTTCGCTTACGATGCGGTTTTGGGGCCTCAGGATGGCTCCAACATGGCCCAAGAGAGCCCCAAGGGGGGCCCAAGATGCCCCCAAGACGGCCCCAAGACCGCCCAAGAGCGCTTTAAGGGCGCCCCAAGAGGGCCCCAAGAGGCGGTTTTGATGGCCCCAGAGGTGGGTGGGGGGAATTCGGGCTTCCCCTCTTTTGATCGATGCCCTCCAAGATGGCCCCAAGAGGCCCTCCAAGGCTGCCAAGAGGCCCCCAAAGAGGGGCCCAAGAGAGCCACAAGAGTCCCCCAAAGAGCCCCGAGAATTCCTAATACTCTCCCAAGAGGCCCGCCAGAGAGCCCCCACGAGGCCCCTTTAGAGGGCCTCCAGTAGAGCCCAAGCCGGCTGCCAGAGTCTTCGTCCTCCACCTCCTCCTCGCCTTTGTCCTTGTCCTCCTCGACCTCCTCTTCCTCCTCCTCATCCCCCTCTTCGTCGTCCTTCGCGTTCTCGTCCTCCTCCTCGTCCTCGTCCATGTGCTTGGTCTAATCGGGCTGGTCTGAAACTTGTTCCACTGCATGCTCCTCCTGTCCTGATCAAGGCAATTCGTCTGGGCATCGTTTCTGAATGGGCTGGTGGGATACACAAAGCGTGAATCATTCCGACACGTTGCGTAGGATTGCCCAAGCCCTGCGCTCTCAAATGACTGTCTCTTGTAATGCAGGTGCAGCCAACGATGACGCCGACATGCTCGAACGTGGCCCTAAGACTAGCATAACCGCGCACCTCACGATAGCAAGGACAGCATAACGGTGTTGAGCTCGATCGGTGCGTGCCGTCCCGATCGTGGTGGCAATGGCGACGGCGATGCCAGCAAAGACATTGTGATCGCGACCACGATGAAATTTTAGACGCCCCTTCTTGGGGGAATGAGAGGTGCAAAACATAGTGTTTCTGCCAAGTGAGCTTCTGTTTTGAGGGAGTTTCTGTGGAACTACCGTCATCCTCACCCCCGGCGCGGGGAGCACAGGGGCCCAGAGCGGCCTCCGGCACCGTTTCCGGACAGATCCGGTGGATCCGGTGGATCCGCCGACGAATCCCAAACCGGCGCCCTCGCTTGAGACATCCTCGCGAAACCGGCCCCGAGGGAGGTGCCCAGAGGAGCCCAGAGCGGCCTCCGGCACCGTTTCCGGACAGATCCGGACAGATCCGGTGGATCCGCTGACGAATCCCAAACCGGCGCCCTCGCTTGAGACATCCTCACAAAACCGGCCCCGGGGGAGGTGCCCAGAGGAGCCCAGAGCGGCCTCCGGCACCGTTTCCGGACAGATCCGGTGGATCCGGTGGATCCGCCGACGAATCCCAAACCGGCGCCCTCGCTTGAGACATCCTCACAAAACCGGCCCCGGGGGAGGTGCCCAGAGGAGCCCAGAGCGGCCTCCGGCACCGTTTCCGGACAGATCCGGTGGATCCGGTGGACGAATCCCAAACCGGCGCCCTCGCTTGAGACATCCTCACAAAACCGGCCCCGGGGGAGGTGCCCAGAGGAGCCCAGAGCGGCCTCCGGCACCGTTTCCGGACAGATCCGGTGGATCCGGTGGATCCGCCGACGAATCCCAAACCGGCGCCCTCGCTTGAGACATCCTCACAAAACGGGCCCCGGGGGAGGTGCCCAGAGGAGCCCAGAGCGGCCTCCGGCACCGTTTCCGGACAGATCCGGTGGATCCGGTGGATCCGCCGACGAATCCCAAACCGGCGCCCTCGCTTAACCCCGAGCGTCCATGTCACCTAAAGCCAAGAGATTCTCTTAGAAAAAGGAGATGATGCATGGAATAAGAGACAGATCTAGACGATATCGTCTAAATTCGCAGCTTAGATTCTTAGAATCACTGCGAATCTCCTGGATACAGACGACGCGCGCCTTAGTCTCTTATCCGATGACTTCATTTAAGCGGCCAGGGGCTAAACTTGGAAATAAGAGATTTGGTTGGCTTTAGATCCACTGCTGCACTACTACTTAAACTACCATTACTACTACTGCTGTTGCCGCTGCTGCTGCTACTATGACTATTAATAACCGACGACTACTAGTACAACTACAACTATAGCGGTATACCGCTATAGCACTACTGTATACGAATAGTGATGCTACGTACTACTTAATACTCTGCACAACCACTACAACAGCGGCTGCGACTCCTAATGCTACCACTACGACTATTATACGTTTGTGTTCTACTACTACTACGTACTACTACTACTACTACTACTACTACTACTACTACTACTGCTACTGCTACTGCTACTGCTACTACTACTACTACTACTACTACTACTACTACTGGTACTACTACTACTACTACTACTACTACTACTACTACTACTACTAGCTACTACTACTACTACTAGCTACTACTACTACTACTCTTGTCTACTACTACTACTACTACTCCTACTACTACTACTGCTACTACTAGCTACTACTACTACTACTCCTACTACTACGACTACTACTACTACTGCTACAACTACGACTACTACTACTACTACTACTACTACTACTACTACTACTACGACTACGACTACGACTACTACTACTACTACTACTACTACTACTACTACTACTACTACTACTACTACTACTACTACTACTACTACTACTACTACTACTACTACTACTACTACTACTACTACTACTACTTTTACTACTACGACGATTACTACCACTACTACTACTACTACTACTACTACTACTGCTGCTGCTGCTACTACTACTACTACTTCTACTACTACTACACTACTACTACTACTACTACTACTACTAACTACTACTACTACTACTACTAGTAGTACTAGTACTACTACTACTAGTACTACTACTACTACTACTACTACTACTACTACTACTACTACTACTACTACTACTACTACTACTACTACTACTACTACTACTACTACTACTACTACTACTACTAACTACTACTACTACTACCACTACTACTACCACTACTACTACCACTACTACTACTACTACTACTACTACTACTACTACTACTGATGCTACTGCTACTGCTACTGCTACTACTCCTCCTCCTCCTCCTCCTCCTCCTCCACCTCCTCATCCCTTTCCTCCTCCTTCCCATCATCTTCCTTATCCTCCTCCGCCTCCTCCTCCTCCTCGCTCCTCCTTTCCCTCCTCGTCCTTGTCCTCGTCCTCGTCCTCCTCCTCCTCCTCCTTCTCCTCCTCTTTTTCCTCATCATCCTTCTCCTCCTACCCCCCCTCCCTCCTACAACCGCCGCCGCCCGCCCGCGCACCCTCGACGTCGTCGTCGTCGTCCTCGTCCTCGTCATCGTATCGTTGCTTGGTCGCGGCCGTTACGCGGTCATCATCCTCCTCCTCCGTCTCCTCCTCCTCCTATTCCTGCTCCTCTTCCTCATACTCCTCCCGCTCCTCCTTGTCCTCCTCCTCCTCCTCCTCCTCCTTCTCCTCCTCTTCCTCCGCCTCCTCTTCCTCCGCCTGCTCCTCCTCCACCTCTTGTAGCTGGGTCGCGGCCGTTACGCGTGATTTGGGTGTGGGAGTTACGCACGCCTCATCCCCATTCCCCCGACACGTTCATCCTCCCCCTCCACATCCCTCTCATGTACCTGGGTGGCGGCCGCTACGCTACTACACTTAGCCAACATCCTCCTCATCGTCCTCCTCCGCCTCCTCTTCCCCCTCTTCCTCCTCCTCCTCCTCCTCCTCCTCCTCCTCCTTCTTTGCCCTGTAGTTGGGACTCGGCTTCGACAGGCCAGAATTCCGCGTCGATTCCGTACGGTGGAGTGTTGAATGCTTTCCAAGTGCTGTGCGTCATCATGTCCGTAAACATTTTGGCTCAAACCATGTGCACCAGCCACAGCATACACACATGACAGATAAGCAGAGCCGACGTACTGGAGTTGATATCGATCCCGATGTAGCTCAAAAGATATTGTCCGATCACATCACAGCGAAATGCTTGATCGATCCTTCTTCCCAATGGGAATACGGTATGCCTGGCACGGAATCGACATTGTGGAAAAAAGGCACAAAATTTGATCAACTTTGGCGACACCGTGCGTTCTTGGAAGATATTGTTGCTGCGACTCACGGCAGGGTTCTTCTACATGCGTCCTGGTACTCAGCGTTGACAGCACACTTCAAAGGGCAGATCTCGAGCGATGCTGTTCTCAAGATGGCATATAGAAGCAGGGCTATGATTGCACACCTCAGGGACTGCAAAAGAGATGGGGAACGAGCACCTCGGCGCTACGCGAAACTACAAGGACTCATTGATGATATGCAGGTTCAGATCGAGCCCAAGACGGGCAGACGTACATCCACAGAGCTCGCCATGCAGGAGGTGAGCGACGAAGTCATCGAGGTGACACCGATTAAGAAGGAGAAGGTACCGACCGTCAACGTGGACAGCAACTCCGACGCCGAGTACGATTTCAAGCTCTTCAAAAGTGCAACTGGCCATGCAACCAGGTCACCAGCCAAATCAAGTGGTGCTCACGGTGTCGACGTCGGCGCATTGGTCAAGCAGGCAGCAACTATTCCAGGTATCGGCCCGCGGACTGGTAACAAGAACTTTGGCTGGGGCGATGGAACGGAATTGAAGAAACGGCCAGCTGCTGCGATGAGGCGGCCAGCAGGAGTCGCCAAGAAGCCAGCATCGCACGATGATCAGATCAACATGAAAAAACCAGCGGCTGCGGACAAGATCGATGACACCGTGGAGAATACCTACAAGTCGAGTGTGTGACAAATCGCGTGTACAGCTCTGCCTACTGCAAGGCGCTCACGATCGCCAAGAAAACACATTGCGCAGCTGTGGCTAGGGTCAAAGCCAGGCTTGCTGGCAGACAGGCCGTGGCTCCCCACTTCGGCACAGGCGCGGCTCACCAAGAGTAGACGAACAACAGGAGCATGCCCCTGCAAAAAAAAAAAAACAGCATCGTGCATCATTTGTGAAGGGAGTAGACCGCCACTCGAAAGACATGGCATGTTGTATCAATCGGTCGACCTGTCTGCAGAATCACCGTCACCAACGAACGACACATACGAATGATGTTTCTGGGAACCTGTGTATATTATCATAATCATCACCATCATCACCATTATCATCATCACCAACATCGTCATCACCAACATCTTAACCACCATCATCCGTAACGTCATATACACAATCATAATCAGCATCAGCATCGTCGTCGTCGACGCCGGCATCGTCATCGCATTCACTATCATCAGCATGGCCATCATCATCATCGTCGCCACCATCGTCATCATCATCATCATCGTCACCATCTTGGCTCGAGCTCTTTTTGCACCAGGTGGCCGAGCATATCCCAACATGGGCCCCAACAAGAGGCCTTCAGAGGGCGGTGGTGGACCATCGCCAAAACGTACGACTCCTAACCCTTATGATGATGGAAACGACTCGCAATACCCAAATGATGGGAACGACTCGCAATACCCAGATGATGGGAACGACTCGCAATGCCCAACCGTGGACGGTGCGACTGCAGGAAGCTCCACAGCGTTGGTCGAAGCTGGTCCACACAAAGCAGATGATGCCGATCATTGCGATGACTCATTGTCGGAGGCTTTGGGGCGCTCGATTGTGTCGCATGCAAGTGGGTCGGCAACGATTGATATCGCATCAGACGGCGACCTTGACGACAATGACAAGAAGAATGGCATCATTACAGTATTGAAGAACTACAACACCGTGATCAACGGGTACCTGGTCCGCGTCGGCGAGGACAACTACACGACAGCGATCAAGCAGAAGATGGTGGACCTGATCACACGTGCTACGATCCTGCTCAGTTACATGGAAGCGTCTTCTTGCCCTGAGGAGGTGCCCCCAGTCACTCTGACGGAGCTCAAGGACGGTTGGGCAGAGATTAGGCCCGTCGTAGTTCGCATTGTTGGCGACGCGTAGGCAGTCGCTCGAGGCAGGCTGGCCGCTGCACATGTACGACTCTACGTTCAGCGCCCGAAGTGGCGTCATCAGGCCCGCAGGGAAAAAGACAATCATCGTCGTCTTCTCCTCTTCCTGCTCCTCCTCCTCCTCCTCCTGCTCTTCCTCCTCCTCCTCCTCCTCATCATCATCACAATCGCCGCCATCATCATCAACGCATGCAAAGTCAGACAAGTCAGAAAACAGAAACTCAGAAAAATCAGAAACTCAGAAAACTCAGAAAACTCAGAAGACTCAGACAAGCCCAGAAAAGTCAGAAAACTCAGAAAAGCCAGACAACTCAACATTGAACAATGGGCGCAAGCGTGGCCGCACTGGGGCTCCACCTTCACCTCTTCCGCCTCCTCCTTCATGTTTGAGCCGTCTGGCGATGTCTCGAACATTCGCAGCGTCGCTGTGTCTCGGCGTCGTAGGGCTTCGGCGCCGCGGGGTGCGTCAACGAGAAACGAAAAACAAACGAAGTCAGACGAGGTAAAGGCATCAGCGTAAGCAAAGTCAGAAGCAGTCAGACAAAGTCAGGAAAAGTCAGAAAAGTCAGAAAAAGTCAGAAAAGTCAGACATCAACGACACCTGATAAAACACAATAGTTTATAACATTCTGACTTTTCTGACTTTTCTGACTTTTTCTGACTGTTTCTGACTTTTTCTGACTTCGATCAGGTCTCTGGCGTTCGCAGGGGGCGCCGCTGTATCATAGCCATTTTGGCTCGAGATCTGTCGTGCAGTTCCAGAGTGCACGCGACTCCGAGCTGCTCGCCATTCCATCGCAACGCATGGCCCCCAAGGCCAAGCCCAAGGCCAAGCCCGCGGCAGCACAATCGAAGGTGAAGAAGACCCCTCTGGAGAGCCTGAAGGACGAGCTGTCCCAGGAGGAGCTCGCCGCAGCCACGAAGGCTCTGGAGAAGCTCGACTACGACTCCAGAGAGAAGAAGCGAGTGGAGTCGTCGATGACGTACTACTTGAAGCAATCAGGAGAACTTCCCCAAGGTGAGAGACCCGATGGTGGACGTCGCCGAACATTCTTGTTGAATTTCCTTGCGATGAAGGCCCGCGAGGGCGGACAGAAGACGTACGAGGGTAGCCGGCAGATCACGCACGAGAACACCGCAGGGGCGCATAAGCAGTGGATGGGGAAGGAGCAGATGGAGCGTGTATACGGTGAAAAAAGAGTTCGTCGTTGGATCGACAGCGGCAATTTGAAGCAGCGGCCCGACAAAGTGACAGGGTCCATGGAAGAGGATATGTGCGAGTGGCAGATCCAGGACGACTTCGAGGACCAGGAGAATGGCGAGCACACGAAGATCGGCATGCACGTCAACGGGGATGCTGATATGGAGGGCGCCTTGTCTGACCAGATGAGCGACATGGCAGGGTCGATGCTGCCGAGCTTGACGGGTTCTGCTGGTTCGGCTGACCCTATCCCCGTGAAGCCCGAGGAAGCGCCTGGGGTCGAGATCAACCCGCTCGACAAGCTCGACATCATGAAGGACACGATGGGCATTCTCAGCAAATTTCGCAGCATAGAGATCGAGTGCAAGGTGATGCGCGAGTCGGCGAGTGGCATCGAGTACGCCAAGCAGCTTCACGACGACGTGGTTTCATTCCTTCCAAAGTTGGCCAGCTGCATCAAAGCTGTCGAGAAGCTGGTGCTGTGCAACAAGAGCGAGGTTCTTGATGTGGGCTCGATCCAGGCTCTGGACGGCAAGGTCTCGATGAGCATGGCCAAGTTCAAGACCGTGCAGGACTGGGCCGTCAAATTCGGAATTTCGAAACCTCCTAAGAGGAGGAGGGCAGCCTAGCTCAGGAGTCAACTCGACTCCCTACCTATACTCGGCCTCCACCTGCTCCTCCTGCCATTGTGTACTTGTGCAGAATGGGCTTTTGAGTTTTAGCCGACTGGGGTGTCGGGCAAGAGAGTTCAGAGCTTCTAAGAGTAATCGAAAAAGGGACTGACTGAGCAAATCTTCCGTCACCGTCATCGTGATAGTAATTATATTCATGATTACGCATACTCGTTATCGCCATCATCGTCATCATTACCATTAGCACCGTCATCGCAGCCATCCTCACCATTAACACCATCAACATCATCATCATCAACATCATCAGCATCAACATCATCATCACCATCACCGTCATCGTCACCATCATCATTGTCATCATCAGCATCACCATCGTGCATACTTGGGGACTTCTGGAGGCCTCCCTTGCGCCACCTCCTGCGACTCTAGGGCTACCTTGAGGCCTCAGGGGGTCGTCTTGCCTCCAAGACGTCTTGGGGGGAAGCAAGCGACTCCCGACTCGCACGCGCCTTGCTGCATGTTCTCGGACACGCGCGAGCGTGAAGATGAGCAGGGGAGGGGGAGGGGGAGGAGGAAGAGGAGGAGGAGGAGGAGGAGGATGGGAAGCAGGAGGAGGAGCAGGAGGGGCAGGAGGAAGACACTGATACGATTCCGTGCGGTTGGCACTTCTATGTCCTTGCGACTGCGTGAAAGGCTTGTGCGGGGTTGTCCATTCTATGTTTGAGGGTCTGAGTCTCGTGGCACCCATCGTGTCCGTAGCCCATTGGGCCCAAGCAATTTGGCGCATGAAGCGAGGCTTGCTAGGCCGATTAGCGGGGGGGGCTCCAGAAACGCACGGGGCAAGCTCTTCGCAGGCGACGGTCGCACCTCCAGGCGTTCGCAGAAAGTTGGCGGCTGCTGAGCGAGATGAGTTAGACAAGAGGCATGCTGCCATCCACGAGGGGTCTTCGAGTTTGCCTTTAAACAGAACCCTTCTCAAAAAATGGGCGAGAGGTGAACTGAGCTCGTCCGCTGTCCAGGAGATAGCGATGGCTGCTACAACACAGGGTGCAGTTGGAGCTGAACGGTATGCTAAGCTGGGCTCATTCGGTCATCAACCTGGCAATGTTTTTCGCGATCTTGTGCAAACGATTGGTTCTCCCGTGGGGTCGTCTGCAATTTCTTACCCGCGAATGCCGTGCCCCGCAGGTCCGAAGAGGATCGCTGTACTGCTACCGCATATTATGTTTGAGCAGATGTATGTTGAAAAACAAGTCGAGTTCAAGAGGTCGATATTAGGTGGTCTACCCGATGCCCGAGATTTTTGGAACTCTGAGTCTGGCCGAGCGTTCGCAGCCCAACACCCGATTCTTAGGGCGAAGTCCTTGGATGAACTTTGAAAGGCAATCCCCCTTGGCCTGCATGGGGACGGGGGAGAGTACTCACACCAAGATTCAGTGTATGTAATTTCTTGGCACAGCCTGATAGGACTTGGAGGTGCCAGATCAAAGAAATTCGTGTTCGCCATGTTGAGAAAAACTGAGTTGAACGATAAGGTGTGGGATACGTTGTGGAAGATCTTTTCAGATTCTATGAACAAGCTGTTGCTGGGAAATAGCCAGATAGCATGAGGGTTTGGAGGAAGCCTCTTGCAGCTTAGGGGAGATTGGGCGTTCTTCTGCGAAGTGCTGGGGTTTCCGAAGCATAATGAAAACGAGAATTGCTGTTGGAAGTGCAAGGCCTCCATTTCCATCCCAGAGCTTCGGTTTACAGATGCTACCGACGAGGCGGGGTGGAGGGCAACCTTACGAACTCATGAGAGCTACCTTGATGAGTTGAAGCGTGCAGGAAAACCAGTTCCACCTTTGTTTCGATATGCGATTGGATTCAGAATGGAGCATTGCATGATTGATGTACTGCACTGTGTAGACCAAGGGGTCACTGCGCACGTAGTCGGTTCGGTCTTGATGGAGTGTATGGCCCACTTTGGGCCCAACCAGGATGCCCAGGTAAAGCAGTTGCAAGTGCGCTTGAAACAATGGGAAGCTGGCCGAGGCACTTGGCATCACAGGTATGCTGGCAAGCTCACGCTTGAACGACTTCGGAGCTCAAGTGGCTTCAGCAAGTTGAAAGGCAAAGCGGCGATGGTTCGACATATGATCGGTTTCGCTGTGATGTTGGCAGAGGAACAAAATGATGGCTCTGTGCATTGTAGTCGGCGCCTCGCAGTAGCTAGGCTCATTGAACGTTTTTACCAGATTCTCGTTGAAAACGATATGTTCATTGTTGGCGCCGACCTTCAGGAGTTGAAGAGTTTGGGGAAAAAAGTGATGATCCTCTACAACGCTTTGAGCACAGAGGCGGCCTCAAGGCATGCCAAGCTGTGGAAGTTTGTGCCAACATTTCACATGTGGGTTCACTTGTGCGAAGAGCAGGGGTTCATGATGAACCCCAGGTTCTTTTGGACCTACGGGGACGAGGACTTGGTCGGTAAAACAATCGAAGTTGCGCAGACAGTGCATCCGAGCACCCTGGCAGAGACTGCGTTGTTCAAATATCTCGTGGTCACGTTTGGCTGCTGAAATAACAGAACATCCTCATCTCCACGACATCATCTTGGCCCCTAGTAGATCCGATGATGATGATGATGATGATGATCAGGATGATGATGATCAGGATGTTGTTGTTTATGATGATGATGGATGAGGATGATGATGATGACAATGATGATGATGATGATGATGATGATGATGATGATGACGATGATGATGATGACGATGACGGCGACGACGACGATGATGATGACGATGATGGTGGTGGTGGTCATGATTATGGTGAGGAGGAGGAGGAGGAGGAGCAGCAGGAGCAGGAGCAGCAGCAGGAGCAGGAGGAGGAGGAGGAGCAGCAGGAGCAGGAGCAGGAGCAGGAGCAGGAGCAGGAGCAGGAGCAGGAGCAGGAGGAAAAGCAGGATAAGGAGGTGGAGGAGGAGGAGGAGGAGGAGGAGGAGGAGGAAGAGGAACAACAACAACAACATCAGCGTCAACATAATCAACAGCAACAGCTAAAGGATGGAAACGAATAGTAATATAAGGAAGAGGAAGGAGGAAAACACAGAGCTGACACGAGAGGATGAGGAGGGGAGGGGCGGGAGGATGAGGCGGCACAGAAAACGGGCGACGA